GGCGCCCTCTTGAGTAATCAGGCGATATGCGCCGTTTGAATAGACTGTGTCTATTACAAACGGTCCTTCCCATTTGGGTTCGAATTTACCTTTCTTCTTGGAAGTGAGGATTATTGGTCGGCGAGCAGCGAGGACCAGATCTCCTTCCTTGAAGCTTCTCTGTCGGACTCTTTTGTTAAAAGCCCTAGACATCCTGGCCTGATAAAACTCAATTTGCTGTTGAGCTTCCAAGCGCTTTTCATCCAGCCTCTCAAGCTCTTCGAGACGCTTCTGATGCTGTTCTTCTGTCGTCATCTCAGTTGCGAGAGCAATCCGAAGTGACGGGATTTGAATTTCCAAAGGTAGCACAGCCTCGCATCCGTATATCAGCGAATATGGGGTGGCCCCTGTGGGCGTGCGTATGGTGGTGCGATAAGCCCAGAGTGCTTCACCGAGTTTATCGTCCCAGTCTCGTTTATTGGTCTTCACGAGCTTTGACAGGATCTTAATGATCGTCTTGTTGAAAGCCTCAGCTAGTCCGTTTGCGGCGGGATAATAAGATGTCGACGAGACATCCTCGATCTTGAACTTGTCACAAAACCTGATGAAGGCGTTGCTTATGAACTGTGGACCATTGTTATGAATGATCCGTCTTGGCACGCCGTGTCGGTATATGACATGATGCTTGATGAAATTGATGACGTTGTTCGTCTTCACTTCCTTAAGCGGAATTGCTTCAGCCCACTTCGAGAAATAGTCCGTGATTGCGAGGATGAATCGATCGCCTTTGACTGAAGGGGGAAAAATAGGACCGACAATGTCCATACCCCATGTCTCGAACGGCCAAGACGTGGCGGTTGATGCATATAATTCGCATGTATCTGACAAGCGTGGCACTCTCGTGCGTGTTTGATTGCATCTCGAACCATCGTTGGCCAGAAATACCCCATTCTTCTGATGCGATCATACAGTTTGGGATCGGGCTGATGCGCACCACATTCTCCTTCGTGTGCTTCCTTAAGAACTTCTTCTGCTTCTTTGTTCGAAAGGCATCGGAGTAATAAACCATCGTATCCCCTACGGTATAACGTATGGGTCTCGGCATTATAAAAGAATCTTGGTGCTCTTCGGCGAATTGATTCTCTTTCTTTTACATCCTCCGGCAAGATACCATACTGGACGTAGTCAATGATGGGAAAACGCCAATCTTGGGACTCAGACCCAATTTGAGTTGAGTTCACCTCCTTGGCGTTAATGTCTCCGTCGTCTTCAATTTCCATATCGTATATGGGTATGCAGAGCTGATGCGTCCTCACTGTGACTAACAGTTTAGTTTCGGGAGGCTGCGCAAGTGATACCGCTAGTGCTGCCAGTGCATCCGCATAAGCGTTCTGGAGACGAGGGATATATTCAATGAAGAATTCTTCAAAAGATTCTGCCATTTTGATGGCTTCCTGGTGGTACGGGATCAGGTCCTGGTTCCTGACTTCATACTCTCCTCGGACTTGGTTGACTATCAATTGAGAATCCCCAAAAGCTTCGAGATATTCGACCCCCAGCTCCTTGGCGAAACTGAGTCCAATAAGAAGCGCGTTGTATTCAGCTACGTTATTGGAGCACGGACTCGTCAATGAATAAGCTCGAGGCATCACATGCTTCCCCGGGGAGATTAAGACAACTCCAACCCCGGAGGAAACTGTAGAACCTCCCGGGGTTATTACCCTATTAACTGACCTTGAAGCACCATCGAAATATAATTGCCATACTTGTTGGTGCGACGTAGTATTAACCTCGTGGGTTTCGTCCGGCAAGTCATCATATACTTCTGCCGTATCTGTGGTCGGGTTTGCCGCCAGAAGATCACAAATCGCTTGTCCTTTGATCGACTTCTGCTGCTTGAAGTGCAAATCATACTGGGACAAGAGAAGAGCCCATTTCGCTAACCCCCGCCAATTCATAGAGGCTGGTTGCGTCATAAACACCCGTACTGGATTAACATTGGAAATGACGTAAATCGTCTGTCCAACCAAGTAATGCCGCATCTTTTGCATCGCGAATACCAATGCGAGGCATTCTCTCTCAATCATCGGATATCGAGACTCGGCGCCTATCAAGGTCCGACTTAGGTAATAAACTGCCTGTTCGTGACCGTTATCGTCGTCTTGTGCTAGTAAAGCACTTATCGAGTGGTTCATCGCCTTGATGTAAATCAAGAACGGTTTACCCGATTTCGGTGCAACGAGAACAGGAGGATTCGTCAGATACGTTTTGATATCTTCGAATGCTTTTTGGCAGGCGTCGTCCCAGATGAATGACACCCCTTTCTTGTTTAGCTTAGAAAATGGTTGGCACTTCCCAGAAAGGTTTGAGATGAACCGCCGGATGTAAGCTAGCCGCCCTTGCAATCCTCTGAGCTCTCTCAAATTTCTAGGAGGTTGCAGTTCGTGTATCGCCTTCACTTTGTCAGGATCGATATGTATACCTTTAGTGGTGACGACGAATCCAAGGAATTTTCCGCTAGACATTCCAAGGAAGGATTTAGTAGGGTTCATCTTCAATTGATGACTTCGCATGAGATCGAACATCGTCTTCAAGTCCTTGATGTGATCTTCTTTGTTGCGGCTTTTTACAACCAAATCATCAACGTAGCACTCGACTGTTTTCCTGAGATGTTCTTGGAAAATCTTAGTCATTGCTCGTTGGTATGTGGCGCCCGCATTCTTTAGACCGAAAGGCATCACCGTGTAACAGAATACACCAAGGGGCGTTCTGAACGCTGTATGCTTCTCGTCATCTGGGTGCATCTTGATTTGGTTATATCCTGAAAACCCATCCATGAAAGACATTCTCTCAAATCCGCATGTATTGTCGATAATAACATCCGTGATTGGGAGAGGAAAGTCGTCTTTTGGACATGCCGTATTCAGGTCCCTGAAGTCAATGCAAATCCTGATTTTACCGTTCTTCTTCATGACTGGAACGATATTGGCTAGCCAATCTGGATGTTGCTCCTCTCGGATAAATCCTGATTCGATCAATTTCTTAACCTCTGCCTCAATGGCTTCCATAATCTGCGGACGAAACCGTCTTTGCTGTTGTTTGAAACCCAAAGATGAAGGAGGGCTTGGGGGGATTGATATCCCCTCCTTTAATTCAGCCCTCCTCTCCAAATGGATCTGGAAAATTTGGGATAGATCATCATTCCTCAGTGAAGTGTTTTTTTCTATATATTCCAAACATGGAGCTAACCCTTTTGCTAATCATCCGAAGTTGGCACACTCAAGATTTTTCCAGGACCTTCTCTCAGCTCAATCCACTTTCTTCAGCATTGTCAGATGGAATGTCGGTAATGGTACTTCGAGCAGTTTTTGGCATGACAAATGGGCAGCAGCTAACACCCTTAGCAGCCTCTTTCCCCATGCTTACAAGCTTGCCTTCTCGAGTAATTGTAGCATCAGTTCGCAAGGTAGATGGGCATATGGTTCATGGCTTTGGCATCCTATTATTAGAAGGGGATCTTCCCCAAGAGAGAGGGATGATGTTATTCATCTCCACTCCTTCCTAGAACATCTATCTCCAGGTGGCCCATCCGAACAAGACTCCTTATGGTGGCCTCTTCACCCATCGGGCGCTTTCTCTGTAAAATCCCTTTACTCTTTTACTTCTTCAGGGGGTTTTAAATCCCAGTTTTTCAAGTTAATATGGAAATCCAACATTCCCCTTAAGGTAAAAATCCACCTCTGGATCATCTCTAAAGGGAAATTGAATACCAAAGATAATTTGATCAAAAAAGGTTGGAACGGTGATCCAAGTTGTCCATTATGTCATCGGGAGACGGAGTCCCATGACCATTTTATTTATACACTGCTCTTTTGCTCGTGAAGTATGGAATCACCTTCTCCCACATTTCCCAGCAAACTGCTGGCCTTTAAACATGGAAAAGCTGCTGTTGCTCTATCAATTACCCAACATTTGCCTGAATATCAAAACCTTTTGGAAGATCTTGTTGCCTTGTTTCTGTTGGTGGATATGGTTTACAAGGAACTCTTTAATTTTCAGAGATACTCCTCCTAACTCGCTATTAGCTGCATCTAATATTGCGAGATTCTCACTTTTCTGGACAGGTGAAGAAGATGACAGGACGGCGAGGAGGCTTCGTAGGGCAGCCCTTAATCTCGGCCTCCAGAACTTAGCGAAGAAGTCTTCCTCAGGGGATGCAGGGGAGAGCCTCCGCAGCAGCTAACATCTGTATCCTGAGTGGCATTCAAGACATGCTTTGTTGACTTTGGGTGTTTTATTTGTTCCCTTTTGGTTAGGGGCTATCAGTGCCTAGCATTTTCAGTCTCTTATCAGTATTGTAGTGTTTTCTATGATCCTTATGAAACGTTGTCTATTTTTGGTTTCCTTTTGCCTTCTTTAGATGATGGTATCGGTTGGAGTGGTGTGGTAGGTGACGACTATGGTCCGCTCCCTACCCACCTCTCTCACTGATCTCACCATCATCTAGAGAAGAAGTATGTACATTCTTCTATCTTCTATTAATATATTCAAATGAACAGGGTACCTCACCCTGTTTCTCAGTTTCAAAAAAAAAAAATAAACACATGTTTCTGTTTCCCTTCGGAAATTAGTTCACACTGCTAGCATGATGCAGCCTTAAAATCCTAAATCATGCAAATACCATGAAACAAGGAAATTAGTTCACACTGCTAGCATGATGCAGCCTTAAAATCCTAAATCATGCAAATACCATGAAACAATTCTCAAACAGATTCTATTCCCAACATCTTATTTTCCTCTATAAATACCATTCACCAATTGGGAACAAAAAAAAAAAAACACAGATCAGAAACTCATAAGTTAAGAAATGGCCAGTCCCAACAGGCAACAGCTCCTTTTTGCTCGTAGCCTTTGCTATTGTTGCAGTTTCTCTCTTCGCTGATAATGCCACTGCAGCCGGCGACAACGACTGGACTCAGCTGAGCGACAAGTGCACTGCGTTTGCAAAGAAAGGCATAGAACCACTTCTCCCATCTGATGACTGTTGCCAGACTATCGTGCATGCTGATCTTGTCTGTGCATGCTCGAAGGTTACTCCTGATACCGAGAACAATATTAGTGTGCCTCTGGCAATCATGGTGGCTAGCTTCTGTGGTCATCCTCTCCCTCATGGAACTCACTGTGGAAGTAAGTGAAGTAAAAGTTTTGTTTTTAATCATTTTTTGATATTTTTATTGAACATTTAAGTAGATTTGTTGATGCCTGGTAATGTTTTCAGGTGTTGTGGTTCCATAAGCACTATGGGAGAACGCGTGTTGAATAAGATGATCATGATGGATTCTATGTAGAGAGAGAGAGAGTAACGCCCCGCCCCGGAATCCCGGAGTCGGTACGCTATTAGATCTGATGGACTGGCATCACAAACCACCACATGTCTTTCAGCACATTTTGTCCTCACTCACGCGCTCCCTGGAAAACTTCCCAGGGGGTCACCCATCCTAGAATTTCACCAGACCAAGCACGCTTAACTTTGGAGTTTCTAAGAGTTGGGTTCCCGAAAAGAAGATGCATCTTGGTGGTATGAGTATTCCAATCAAATCTATCAATACTAATCACATCACCCTCTCAAGGGTTGGGGTATTACATACTCCCCCACTTAAACTCACAACGTCCTCGTTGTGCCAAACCATATCATCCAAGACCGTACCATCCGTGTGAGATTCTAGAGGTGTCTCCTACGGCCTCAAGAGGTGGCTCCCGCCCTCTTGACGTAGCACTTTGCGCCGCATAGCACTTACTCTCACAATTCCGGTTGGTTTGGCTCTGATACCATTTGTAACGCCCCGCCCCGGAATCCTGGAGTCAGTACGCTATTAGATCTGATGGACTGGCCTCACAAACCACCACATGTCTTTTCAGCACATTTTGTCCTCACTCACGCGCTCCCTGGAAAACTTCCCAGGGGGTCACCCATCCTAGAATTTCTCCAGGCCAAGCACGCTTAACTTTAGAGTTTCTAAGAGTTGGGTTCCCGAAAAGAAGATGCATCTTGGTGGTATGAGTATTCCAATCAAATCTATCAATACTAATCACATGTATGAATAACTTCAATTAGCAGATTTCGTCATGTAGTAGTGATCTATAGACAATCCATCTATGACAATGAAATGAATGAATTGGCATATGACTATCTTAATCAATTCTGATGTGTCTATGATTTGTTCTCTGTATATGCTGCTAAAGGCTTTAATAAGTCTTCTTTCCCCTCTATTTTTGTGATTTTCTGTTGGCAATATGAATGACAAAAGTTATAAGGTTTTCCCCCATAGAAACAACCTTGAAAATATGGTAATACACGGAAACTACATTTCATTTTCAATTTATACATAAACCACATGTAAAGTTAGCTTTTATTGCAATCAATCACCTCCTAGTCAAATTCTTCATTCAAAATCCAAAATTATCCTTAAAAAACTCACATTCAATGTACATGACTCAATTTGTTAGTGTTTAGGTCTTGTTAGGATACAGGTCACGTACCTTGAACTTGAATTTTTATGTCAATTTTTTAGTTTTTAGTGAAAATTCGACTAGGACATGATTGATGGTAACAAAAACCAACTTTAAATGCGGGTTATGTATAAATTAAAAATGAAAGATACATTCTGTACAACTACCCTCTTATTAAGGTGGTTTCTAGGGGGGAAATCCAAGTTATAAAGTAGTCATCGGTATGAAAAGCTTTTAGATTTATGTCCCTTCATAGTAGTGCACAAATATATATTTTTTGAGAAGGTCCATAATTTGAGAGGGTGTACAAGCGATATGAAAAGGGACAGTCGAGTTGCGTTAGTGAATTTGGTTTAACAATTTTTTTTGCTGAAAAAAGCTTTTCTCTGAATGTTTAGAGTAAAAGGAGTCCTGTTTTAATCTAAGAACATGAAATATGTATACTTAAATCAAGAAATCCAATTTCACTGATAATTATAAAATTAAAATCATTGGAGGAAAAATTCTCTTTAAGTTGTATATACTCTTCTTGCTTCCGTAACTTACAATATCATCTTGATTTTTCTTTTACATCTTTGACAACTTCCAACTTCCAAGGACACATGAGTATTTTTGGCACCAAAGGGTCTTCCTATACAATCCAAATCTTAGCACATTTTATAAGGAGGGAAAAATAAGAGCAAAATCAAAATGCAAAAACAAAAATAAACACCAAAAAGTAAAATAATTATCATATTTACTAATTTACCTTATTTCTCTGGGATTAGTTTAGTCCACCCCCATTATCCGTGAAGGAATATTTTAAGCATACTAGTATGGTGCACATGCATTGCACATGTATCTATTTTCATATTTAATTTATTTACTCTGACTATATAAAAGTTTAGTCTTGAAAGTAAATTTTATTAAATATTAGTTTTGCTTAAGTATAATTTGAGTGCAAGTAATCAATAGAACCTTTATTATAGTAATTAAATCATATATAATGAGATAAAAAATTATAATATAATTTTATATATTTAGTAATTATCATATAGTAAATTATAAAAATTATTGTAATCGAATTCACATATTCACTAATTAGTTTCCTGTAAATAACCCTTTTAATTTGTTGAATATATTTTAAAAATTATAAGGTAGAGTAAACCTATTTATTAACACACTATAATGAATTAATATTTACCAACCATTTCATTGTTAATATAATTATAAGTTAGAAATTAAATATGTATTAGCAATATAACTACACAAAGACAAAGTTGTTGTTGAGTGGATAATCATTGTTAACATAATATATTATTGAGAAGTAATATGATTTCATATGAGGTTTTTGTCACTAAGAAAATTTGATGTGTATACATTGGATAAATAGGAATTGTATTCTATATATGACGATCACTTGAAGAAACACAATAGAATTTAAGAAAGTACAACGTTTATTGAATAAAATTCCATGTTCTTTTGACTTTTTTATATGTTTTCTTCAAATTTAAATATGGATTTTATCCTATCAAAGGCTCTTGACTTAATATGCTAATAATCCAATAATTATTCCTTTATCTCATCATGTGAAAAAAATAGCCTGCTAGTGAAGCTGACACTTAAGTTTTTTGTGGTGCCAAAATTGAAATTTGTGTTGAATTTTTCTTATAGGGGCTGTTTGTTTGCCAAAAAAGAAGAAGAAAACTAGCCGCCATGTCACCTTTGAGGAAATCCCCCCATCCACATCAACTTTTGGTTTCAACACATTTCCATTGCACATGTTTGTTTCATTTTTTTATTTAAGGAAATGGGGATGCCACCTAGGATGCCATGTCACATTTCAAGCACATGTTTGTTTCATTTTTTTATTTAAGGAAATGGGGATGCCACCTAGGATGCCATGTCACATTTCAAGAAATGTGTTTTCACAACAAAAAGTTAAGGAAATGGGGATGCCACCTAGGATGCCATGTCACATTTCAAGAAATGTGTTTTCACAACAAAAAGCTATGAAAACACTTGGAAATATCACATCAATGAGTTTTTAATTAATAAATGCACTATTGGAGAGTATTATGATGAATAAATTTCTTTTGTAATGGGTCATTTCTCTTTTTCTTTTTCTTCTTGTCAAACAAACTAAAGAAATGGAAATCAAAAGCACTATTACTATGGAGTTTTTTTTATTTTTTGTGTGACTTGGCAGTGAAAAGGGGAGGTTTCTTTGCGAAACAAACAAAATAAAAGAAAACTGGGAAACCTATTGATATGTGTTGAAATCATTTCCAAAGAGGATTTTCCATTTCCATTTTTTTCGTGGAAATAGCCAAACATGCTTATCCTTTCTTGTATATTGCAGGTCCACAGTGAGACCAAAATTTTAAATTGTAAACTTAAACTTGGATCTGTTTCTGGTTCTTTTAATATTGTAATTATCTCGGATTATAATTGAAATAGTAAAAATAAAACGAAGAAAAAAGTTGTTATTCCCGGGGACTTTTTCCTGTGTACCGATAGAGTGATTATTTTGTACTCCATTGACGCACCGATTAAGATTTAGGGTTCTTGTTGTGGGTACAAGCTTAGTGGTTTAGAAGATAGCTTAGTCATATCTTAACACTTTCACTTGATTGAATCACTAATGCGATGATAAGAATCTCTCTCTGCGTGTGAGTTGATCTCTCTCGGATTCGGTTTAATCTCTTAGATGGATAGACCTTCTTAAAATTTTCCCATTTTTCGAATTCTCTTTGAATAAATGATCTCTCCTTCTTTTATAGACTAAACGTGAGAGTTAATGGCCCTTTGATCGTGAATTAAGTGGTCACTAAAATAGGAGATAACGAGGAATGATTATTCACCAAAAATAGCTCCTAAACAGCTATTTGGCGTGTTTCATAAGCTTGGTGAAGTTCGCTGAAGATGTGGGAGGATGTCGTTGAAGTCATGAGTGAGGATCGCTGTGGACGTGAGCGAGTCTTCTTCGGAAGTAGATGACTTGGTCCACTTGAGTTGACATGAGCGGAGTTTATTAGCTGGTGAACTTCACCCATGAGTTTGAATTTGACACAGAATTCATTAGCCGATGAAGTTTGAATTTGACACAGAATTCATTAGATGGAGAACATCACCCATGAGTTTGAATTTGACACATAATTCGACTCTAGGTTTGGCCAACTGATAATGCCTTTCGACTTGACCTGCGACATATTTTGGGAGTCGACTTGCTATTGATTTGGTCGAGTCGAGTCGATATGAGCTGTTTGGCGAGGTTCGCTTCAAGCATCAGGCGATCTTCGCTACAGCTTATTGTGGGCTTAACTTTGGGCCTATTTGAAGTGTTTAGCCCATGTGCGTTCACTTCTTAGATCCAAGCTGATCATTAGCCTAGGTAAAAATACATTTTGACTGTCTACAAGAATGATGGATTGATAAAAACAAAAAGATGTATGTTCAAACTTCATAACCATTTTTTATATCAGGTTCTAGATTTAGTTATTCATTGGCTTCCCCCCTATTTTTGGCAAAGCTATGTAATAAGTTGTTGGGCTCTGATACCACTTGTTGGGGTGCTAAGGACAAATCAAATGCCGAGAGAGAAGTCCAACCACAATCACAATAACGACACAAACACAAACAAACAAATTTACGTGGTTCGTCAAGTTGCCTACGTCTACGGGGCAAGAAGGGTATGAGTTTTCACTAATAGAGAAGAAGAGTACAAATAGAGATTACAAATTTACAAACTAATCTCTCACACAAAGCTCTCAATCTCTTAAATAAAACCCTAACCAATAGCTCAGAAAAACTCCCTTTTCTGTGCTCAAAACAAACCCTTGATTACTCCCAAAACCCTAAAATATGTGTTTGTATTTACACGAAACACCAATCCAAAACAGATCAGGAAGCCAAATCAAGCCCAAAATCCTGATCCGGTCAACCGACCTTGAAGCCGTGGTCGACCGGCCAGAACACGAAAATCAGCTCTAAACTCAAACCCTGTATTGGTCCACTGGACAATGACGTTGGTCGACTAGCATTTTACCTCGGTCAACTGCCAAATTTCCTAAAACAAAAGCCTATAACATGCACGTTTTTGGTCGACCGGACTTGCCTCGCGGTCGACCGAACAACACCCAACTTGTTTCCTCCTTCATATTTTCTGAACTTTGTCGTCGTATCACCAATTCTATAATTCTCCACATAATCGAAGTCTTTCTAAAACTAAGCTGAGACCAACCAAACCAAATGTCCCACTTGTTGCGTCTAATACAAAGTGAAATAAATTCACGACAACGGACTCAAACTATAATAAGTTAGAAAACCCAAATAAGAATGCGAACAAACTCCAAATGTCGGTATCAACTCACCAAACCAACTGCATTAAAAAATGACTGTCTACGTATCCTCTTGCCTAATAAATCAAGTCTCACGTAGTTCCCCAAATGGTCTCCAAAGTCCCTCAATCAACTAGAAGGACTTTTAAACCTTCACGATCATCACCAACAAATCTGCACCTGATAACTCTCCTAATTGCTTCAAAGTGCAACGAACCAAACACCTCCGCCTGAGATGAACCAACGGCCATAACCAAATATGAACTGTGTCCACCAGCTATACTCGAATCAACCAACTCATAATCTGCATCCACATCAACATGATCCCTAATCTGTATCACCTCAACTGGAATCCCAAACGATACAGAATGATCTGGAGAACGTAGAATAATCTCCACCTAACGTGGAGTAGCATTACTCTCCACTTGCTACGATATCCTAATGATCTGTCCAATACTCTCTACCTACCGAGAGTCAAATGTGACATACCTGCTCAGAATAATATCATAGTCTAATACATGATAACCAAACATGACTCTGAATCTCAAATGTGCACTCAGATTAAATCTTACATTCTGAATGTGACAATATGCTGGGCGATCAAATATCTGAAGCAACCAAAAATCTAAAGCAGCTCTACCAGATCCAAATACTCTAATCACGGTAGACGGCAACCTATAAATAAGATGGCTCCCATATGTCGAAACCTCAACACCAGAACTCCTCTGCAAACCAATGCTCGACATCAAACACCGATTCTCCTCTAGCAAGGAATGACTCATCAAATCTGTCACCTCATCTCGTCACCCTAATGTTTCCTCTCCAATGAAGTGTCTCAAGCTACCGTGATCTCGGCACAAATACAGAAAAGAATCCTTACCAAAATCAAAACGACATATTACCTTTCTGCCAATACACTTCTTCCACCTGTTGTTGACTACTAGGATTTCACTCCAACGGGACTTGGTTACAACCCACAAATGCCTAGAACAGTCTCCAACACAAGAAACCTAATACCTATTACCTCCCAGTGTGCCTCTTTGGAAGGCCCTCAAATGCCTAAATGAACACCACCTAGAAGACCCTTCACTCGGTGAATAGAAGTACTAAACTCCACATCGGTCTTCTTACTCATACCAACGTGCTCACGGGACTTCAATCTGCAAGTCAAAGCACTCCTAAATAATCCATGCACGACCTCAACAATCAAATATCCCAACATTAACAAACGCTACAGCCTAGCCAAATTCAAAGAAGTCGTCAGCTCTCCACCAATCACTATGCTCCCAATCAAATAGTACAAATTCTTTTTTCTGACGCCCTTCATCACAATCATGGACCCAAATATGATCTTCAAAGATGCATTTTCTAAGGTCACCCGATAGTATGTTGCCTCCAAAATTCTAAGTGAAATGATGTTCTTCTTCAACTACAGAACGAATCTCACTTTATCCAACTCTCGAATCACCCCGTCACACATCCTAATACAAACGGTACCAATACCACTAATAGGGTATTCATGATCATTATCCATGAGCATGACATCCCCTCTTATTAACTCCTCAAAGTTAGAGAACCAATCCCTTCTAGGATAAATATGGTAAGAAGGACCCGAATCCAATATCCACTCCGTAGAGTCGATAACACAAACTGACGGTAGTGCAGGGCATGAATAGACTGAAGAATCCAAATCTGAATTACACACTAGCCTTGGCAACATTCACCTCTAAAGCTTTATAGCTTTCTCCTTATTCTTCCCAGTTCGATCTATCAACTTTGGGCATTTGGCTTTCCAATGTCCATCTTTTTTACAAAAGACACACTGATTCTTACTAACTGCAGGATATGCTCCTCTAGACTGTGATCTTCTACTATGGTTTGGACTCTTCCCTCTTGCGACCAATGCCCCCGCCACTGTATCAATCAAAGTCTGCTTATCCTTCTTTCGAAGCTGATAATTCACAGGTACAACGGTGACCTCACTAACCGAAAGAGATGCATTTTCATTAATAAGAGTAAAAACGAAGGTCTCAAATTTCTCGTCGGACAAGAAACTCAACAATAACAACGCATTGTCCTTATCTTCAATCATAATATCTACATTCGCCAAATTTATAAGAAGCTTCGTGTAGTTGTTCATGTGATCACCAATAGAGGTTTCCTTCTTCAATTGGAAACGATAAAGCCTCCTCTTCAAATGCAAGCGATTTTTTACACTCTTCGTCAAATACTTGCTCTCTAGAATCTCCTAAATATTCTTAGCCGAAGTCTCATTAATCACATCATATTTCAAATGTTGTGTTAGACAAGACATAATCACACCACATGCCGTTCGATTCATCTTCTCCC